ATTAGAAGTTAAAGCAAACATAGAAGCTCTAAAATAATTGTAAATCAGGCGGGCAGGAAAGCGATCGAAATATAGGATAACATTGTAGTATAAAACAATTTGGGTATAAGTAATCAGGCATTCCGTTTAAAATCGTGACAGACTGTAATGCATTCAAAAAAATTACGAGCAAGAAACACAGTTGAATTAAAATACCTAGATGAGCATTAAAAATTAAAAGATTACAATTATACAATTGAGCACAGATCTGGTACCCATATGCAACATGTTGACGCTTTGAGTAGAAACCCTTTATTTATGGAATTGGTGGAACCTTTAAGATTATTCAAGCTCAAGAAACTGAAGAAAATATAAAAGCTATAAAATAAATTAAAGTCGTATGAGGATTATTACTTATGAAATGGCATGCTTTACAAAATGGTAGACGGAATTGAAGTGTTAGTAGTAGAGACTTTGCAAATTGAAGTAATTAAAGACACACATGAACGAGGTCATTTTGCTACTAAACATATCAAAGAACATTTGAAACAACATTTTTATATTCCTAAGTCGAAAGAGAAAATTTTATCAATTTTAAAATTTTCTGTATATTAACTTATTTGTATGAACTGTATATTGGATCATAAAAAATTTGGAAAGAACGAAGGATAATTACACTCTTTACCTAAAGATATTACTCTCAATACATATCATGTGATCAAACTGGACACTTCATCTACAATCTAAGCCAGTGCTCCGCAACCTTTTCTCACCTGCGACGCACAAAAAATCTTTCTGGAATTTCGTGGCACACCAAAGAGTTACGAATTATCAAGGAAGTGACGAAAAAATTCAAATGCTGGCACACTTACAATCACACACACAACCACACAACAGTGAAATATATAAAAACATTTAAAATAGACATTATTAGGAAAAAAATTGTCATGTGTATTAAATACATGAAAAAAATTGCAAAATGTCAAATACATGTATTTGATTGCGGCACACCTATATCCTACTCATGGCACACCAGTGTGTCGCGGCACACCGGTTGCGGAGCGCTGATCTAAGCAACTACTGCAAGTAGTAATGCAGCATATTAGTAAATACTGCAATTAGTAACAAGCTCCCAATCAATGATCCCTTGATCATGAGTTCTGATGGCACCCTAAGTGATACTGATTCCACTGCGAATGAAAATGATGCTGTCAATGATGAAGAAACTCAAGAAACCACAACACACTTAGATTTGAAGCTATTAAGGAGAAGGTTCTGAGGAAAAGCACTTTTGCAAGGAAGAGTCAGAAGCTAAAGATAATGAATCAAATGCTAACTCTATTGAAAAAACTTCAGTAACATTCCCTACAACAGATAAACAAAAGAAACCACTGAAAATGTAGAATCTGAAAAAAACCACTGAAGAAAAGGAGAGGGCTGAAAGGCAGAAATCTACTGAAATATTTCATTATAAAGATACTGATGCAGAAAGCAAAGATGGAACAGAAGAAACTAAAGGTGAGAAAAATGAGGCAAAAAAGAAGATTCAGAAGATCCAGGAAGATAATTAAACGATCTTCGATAGTGCGACTCTGATTTTGATGATACCTGATTTAGATTTTTTCCTGACTTGACAAGTTTCTCCTAACCTGACTATTACTTTAAAGACATACATAAACAGGGGTGTTTGTGGGACCCCAAAAAATCCCCTGAAACTTTTACGGACTTACCGACAAAAAGTTTGAGAAGGGGGAGAGAGAAATGAAAAATTACAATTATAAGTATTGAATGACCTAATTATAAAAGTTCAATGAATTACTTTTTTGGCAAAATAATAAAACCATAAATTTTCAAACATATAAACTACTACATTTTATGTAAATATTAATATTTTAAATTACCTGAATTAATTCTTTAAAAAAAAAATTATCTAATTTCTGCTGCTTTTTTTTTTATTTTCTGATGTTTGTGGGCTTGTCTTTTTTTTGTGGTGAACTTCATAATTGCAGGAAGGTTGACTTTTATTTTCCTCATTTACAGTTGAAGAAATTTCCTCGAGAACTGCACATGCAGAGGTAGAAGCAGTTTGCTTTTCTGCTAATGTAGAAGGTTTTTCAGAGACTTTTATAGGTGAGTCATCTGAAATACATGTTTTAAGTCCTCTTGATATGTTTTCCAACTTCTGTTCATATTCAGTAAGAGATCTTTGTGAATTGGATCAGTCATTGGATTTTTTTGAGCCATATTTTTCACATGAGGTTTTTTTTTTAGAAGCCATTAAATTAAATATTTAATAGTTCTGCACTTGCATCTAGGGAATCAATCTTTAAGAGAGGTTCTATAGTCAGTGACAAGTGTATCCATTAAGTTGAATGCACTTTCCACTAATAGGCCATGGAAGCAGCTAAGGCAGGCTTTGACCAATTTAGCCAATGTAGGATACTTATAATCATTTGTGAAATCATCTTTTAAATTAAAAAACTTTAGACCAATATTTATCAATTGTACACTTGACTTGATTTCCACTTTCATCAGATGTGTAGAGCATTTCTTTGGTGATATCAATATCATCTATAACCTTATTTCAGCTTCTACTTTGACTTTTCTATCACTAAAATATGGGACATAAAAGATAATTTCAAAGCAATATGTACTGGTTACTTAGCTGGATAAATGTAAAATTTAGATATGAATTTAAGGGTAATTTAAAAAACACAATATGCTTGTACAGCAACATTTATTTTCTTGCACCATGCGCCGATGGTATCCCCATTACCATCTCTCCATTCAATCCAATTCCACCTAAATGCATTCCGGACACCTTTTTCTAATTGTATTAATATCACTATTTATATCGAGAAATTTCATAGTGAAATTCTCTTGCGTACATAAATAAAAAAATATTTCAATAAACGAAACGAAAAATTTACACGTGCATCAATAAATGAAACGAAAATTTTACACAGCGGAGAGAAAAAAAAGTTGAGAAGCGAGCGATCAATGACAAATAGCTAATACGGCGAAAAATCCCCCTTCTCTACTTATTGGCGCCACGCCAGGAGAGATAAGACCTTTGAACCCAGAGTCACGTGATCGCACATCTGGTCGAACGAAAGTCTCTCCCTTTTTTTTTCTGCCGCGCCTACTTGCCGAAAAGAATCCAGAAGAGAATGTCCGAGAACCGGGGGAATGAGTCATAACTCGCAATAAGGAAAGAACAAAAAAGAAGTTTTTTCCCCCTTTTCACGCATTATCACTGCCTTTGGAGGAGAAAGAAAGAAAGAAAGGAAAAGTTTTCACCACACACACTGACCTTGCGTTTTCTGCTTTCAAACAAACAAAATTACACAGATCAAAATAAATAATTCATTATTATTCCTACTTCCTTTTGAACAACGATCCCCGGAATTTCCGGGTATCAAAGTTCAAAATCCCCGGAATTCTGGGATTTTCCCGGAGCACAAACACCCCTGCATAAAGACATAAAACTATTTTCAAGAAGAATGAAAATGATGTTTAAGATGCATTTATGAAGACATATCTAAATGGAATTGAAGATGATGTGTTTACAAATACATATGATGAGATAGACTGTTTAAGACAAATGAAATTTAAAAGAGTATTGAAGAAGAAATAAGGCCATTATTTCTGAAGATGATGAGATGACGACTGAAGATGACTGACAGAATCATCACAGAATTTTCTCTTTGCCAAGCTAAAATTGCCTTTTCCTCTCTGTTTTTTAATTTTTCAGATTCCCTGATGATGATCGCCTTTCCAGCAAATGAGGATACATTCTGTCCGAATAAATGAGCATGTGTGAGGCTACATCTTCCACTACCACGAGATGTTGCAGTAGACCATTAGACAGAACCATTTGTGAGACAGAACAGATGATTCTGCCATGACGTAAAGATATGTGTAAGATGAGCTAGTAAAAGTTGTATGATTTTATATTAAACGACAGGACTAGTTTAGAACTTTTCTTTAGTTTAACTAATTTCCATTTTCATATGTATGTAATCCTTTTTGGATAATCGTCATTAAAACTAAGTTAAATAATCATTTGCACAAATGTATATGTGCCCCTAGCAACCTTATTTCTATGAAGTAAGTTCTACAAAGGTTAGAGAGCCATACACACACACACACACATATATATATTATATATATATATATATATATAATAGACATAAAGTAAAAAATTTAGAACTAATTTTTCACAAAGACCAAAAATTGAAATTAATAATTAATAAATTTCCAATAATCTTATAAATGCAACAAAGAATTTTAAAAAGTTAAAAACCAAAACTATTCAAACAAGCAAAACCACATTTAAAAAAATTAATGAAATTTAAAGAAAAATGAACAAAAACAGAGGAGGAATTCAATCAACTTCCGTGCTACTTTGTCAGGGGAGAGAAACATTGAAATCTCTATATACAAATTCTCATATTTTTAAACCCCAGTGCTATTAACTTTCTTCATATATTTTCCTTTCTCCATCCTTGGAACAATGATTCAATAATTTCAGTGCCATAACTGTACTAAAATCAATCTAATATATTATGAACTTTAAATGGAAATCAAAGTTTACAAAGGAAATTTAATTCGTAGGAAGTTTCATGAAAAATAACATTATTACTATTAAAAATAGTAAGCAGGGGGGGAAGAGCCATTTCTACTATTTTATGAAAAAGCAGCCTGACCATAAGTTACCAAAAAATAAAAATTTACATTTAAAAAAGTATACAGCTAAGTTAATCAAAATGATTCTCTGTCTGTTAGTTTGGATAAAATGGATTCTAACAGATTCAGTCAAAAGTCAACTGAAACTATCAAAAATGCAAGCTCTACACATTACATTCCTTATATCTGACATATTAAAAAAATATACATACTTTCAAAAGAGTAACAAAAGATAATTTTAAAAAATACCATGTAAAGCAAGATCATGCACAGTAACAGTTGAAGAAATAGGTATTGTAAAATGATTTTAAAATTAAAAAAATAACACATACAAAGCCAAGAACGGATGTCAAAGATAATAGTTGCCCAGGTGTACGATTTGGAAACTGATTTTTAGAGTTGCTGCCAAAACAACCAGGTGAACCAAGAAGATCCATGAGTTTAATAGCTGAGGGAAAATGCAAATATACAAATTTAGCTAATGGTTATCAATATCTAACTATATTTTACAACTGAAAGCAAATTACCTTTTTTAACAGTTATTTTTGATAGACCAAAATCCGTTAACTTGAGATGTCCATTTGAGGATATCAGCATATTATCTGGTTTTAAATCTCTAGAATTTAAACAAGAAAAAAATGAAAGCATTTATATACTAAAAATTTTATGAAGATTAAGGTAACCAATTAAGAAAAATTCTGAGTATTATTTCCAAACCAATTTCTTTAAAAAAAAAAAAAAATCAGTGCTTTCTAATTATCCAAATAATTTAATAACTTAAATGATAATTTCAGAATAGATTAAGCATGATTTAATTCACAATAATAAAAGAAGTTGTTATCTTTGTTGTTGCATAGCTCAGTTTCTCTAGATTGGCAACAAATCTACTATTCTGCCAAGTTTCAAATGTAAACAAATATAGCTGCTACAGGTGACGGAGGATGGGGACACCTGGCGTATAACATAGATAAACAAGCATATGTCCCACATCCTCAACCATCTCGAAGAAGAAGCGAGATAACAGAAAGAGAAAAAGAAGAAACACTTGTGGCGTCCGTGAGGGTGTACATGGCATACCGGGGTTAGAGGTCAAGTAGATTTTAACATCGGATTGCTTATAACACAAAGTAACTTAAAAAGAATATAAAAAGATAGCATTAAAACACTTTAAAACACACTATAGATGAAACACCTAGATCACAAATTAAATAAAAAGCATAGAAACACACTCTAAAATTATAACATAAATAATATGGGTGCTACAGAAAAAAAATTAGGCTCAGCTTGCCATTTAAACACTTTTAATTATGATAATTCTACAATTATTGCATGTATGATAAAATAAAGGCATAAAAACTTTAACCGGAAAATCGAAACAAAAAAAATCATTGTAATTTAAAAAAATGACTCCTTTACCAAATATAATAAACAAAATTTGAGTCCGAGCCGAGTATCACAGATATGTATATCTATATCGATTTATATAACTTTTGGTGCGAACACCGCAAAAAAAAAAAAAAATGTTCAATCCTAGTTGTTTTAGCAGTTTCCCCTTTTTAAGGAAAAAGTAAAAAAGAGGAAAACAAAAAAAAAAATGCACGATTACAAACAACCTAGGTACATACAGCACTGACGAAAAAAAATCTTTCTGAACTTAACAGTTGTAAGCTTTTAAAAAAAGGTCCTTTTATTTTGTCCTAGGTAAATTCACAAAAATTAGTGCATTCAAATGGTTTTTAGGATTTTTCATTAAAATATGCGTACCTGAAATTCGTTGATGACCAAATTACTTCCTTTATTAAATACAAGCAAGGAAAAGGAAGAAAATAGAGGATAAAAGTCGAAAGATTTAAGGGAAAACACGCATCTGAGGACGGAAATCGGGGACAAGGGAGAAAACTCTTACTATGAAAACATTAAAAAGAAGATATTAATTTAAAAAGATGATATTTTTAATTAATTACATAGCTATTTTGTTTTTGCGAAGAACTGTTTTGTAAATTGCGTTTTACACCATTTACTATTTTGTATATTTTTCAGATTTAAAATATTGCATAGTAAAAATTATTATAGTGTTGCCAAAATGGAAAGTGATGTCACTTTATTATACGAGACTGAAATTTTTTTTTTTTTTTTACTTTAATGCTATTTCTTAAATATAGTTTCAATATATTACCATTACCTTCACTTATCAATATTATAATGTTTTAAAAAAATTGTTGAAAACTTACCAGATCTCTGAATCACAAAAATGATGATAAGTCGCCAAATTTCGAACCGATTAATAAAAGTATTCACATCTCCCGCCCAAAAAGTTTTTTTTTAAGAGCTCTTCATAAGAAGATAATGAAATAATTTCAAAATGCTTATGTTTCAGTTATTGCAAAACTAAGGAACCCATTGGGTGATTTGCTGACAAATATGGGTAGATACCCATATTTGTCAGCAAATCACCAAACATATTCCTCCAAAATGGCAATTCACACTCAAAATGGCAGCTGTAAAAACAGATAGAAATTTCAGATGATTAAAATAAAGGACTTAAAAAACCAAAATATATTCCAAAAAAACCTAAGGACCATTAAGGACTGTACTAAACCCTGGCTGAGAGCACTATACTTGGGTTGCCACAAAAATACTTTTTGTCAACAACATCGATTGCCTCATAGCTACTTTGGCAACATACTGCTTTGCTTCGTGAATACTTTTCCATGAATTTTCGCTGCGATGTAGATAATCAGAAAGTACCAAAAATTCTAATAAAAACATTTATTTATTATATCAGAAGTATTAAAACCTTAATAATGTGTATAAATTAAGTAAATTGATTTCAGCAAAGCATACTATAGTTTTCTACCATGATGAAAACTATGTTTCACAAATAAACTTCTGGTGGGATTTTTTTTTAATTTATAAAGCATGGAAAGAAACATGATAAATGCCATAAAAACCAATATTTTTTACTGCATTATAACTTAAAAATATTCAGCTACTTTATCTATTTGACAATCATGTAAAAAGTAATCAAATATTACCTATGAACAATATTGTGCCTGTGCAAATATTCCAATGCCTGGGCAGCTTCTGCAGCATAAAAAACAGCCATGTCTTCATCGAAAAACCCACAAACATGGAGAAGTGATTTTACATCACCTCCGATCATATATTCCATAACCTACAATAAAAATTGTAATATTAATAATTAATTTATAAAATACGATAATATTTCATTACATTAACACAAAATTTTCTATGTATAAAATAGTCATTTAATTCTAAAGATAAACAAAACTCAACCTAAATTTAACATAGGTTTGAAAGAAAAAATACAGAATGAATAACTAAGAAATTTTCAATATTTTAGAAATTTTATCAAATTTACATTCAAAACTGGTATGATTTTCTTACATAGAGCATTCAATTAAATTCCAGATAGTTACTAAAACTACATACTTGGTTGGTTAACTAAAGTACTTAAAGGATATACTCTGCCTAACTCGAAGAATGCTTTCCATTGTGGAATAATTGAAATTTACAGTGGCACTCCAAAGGAACCAAATCTTATAGCAACCCTTTCTTACTTTGCAGAATGTCTTTTGATGGCAGTGAGGAAGCCTTCTGATAAATTTGAATGAAGGTATATTATTTGGTGCATAAAACTGTTTATATGAATGATATGATCTTAAAGTATAGTTTGAAGTTTGTACATATTGCATATAACTGCATACAATAAAGAAAAAAAAATTACTATGAAGATTCAGTTTTTGAACCCCAAGATTGCTAATCGCCATATGGTGAAATAATGTAGTCCTGCGATACCTTACTAAAGAGGTAAGTCAAATATTATTTTAAGCTTTTACAATAAATAGACAATCAATCAATCAATCAAAATTTTTGCTTCCCCCTCCTGCAACTTAATACAACTGGGGTGACACCCGAAATCTACCTCCGTATCAGGCGGGAGGGCCGGACATGTCCGCTGGACCTCTTAAAGAGATTAAACTATTCTCTTGCTACGCCGGGGTGCCTCAAATCCCTGCGCAGACTTTTTATAAAACTCTCTCAAATCCTCCGGGGCTGAACCGGGCTACCGGATGCTTTTACACCACGGGTCTCGGAGACCACCCTGAAGGGAGGACCTCTTCAGACCTGTGTCAATTTGGCGGTCTGACCGGCCGTTGATTCGCTCCTGCCAGTACTATGCGGCTGCCCGTCACCGAAGGTCATTACCCGGAATACGCTGACTGACTACGTTACCAGATCCTCCGGTTCAGGGACTTCTGCAATCCCCCTTGGTCCGGCCGTATAAACGACCTTCCCTCAGGTTCTGGAACCGCCAAGCTCAAAATGCTTTTTCCCCAGAGTACTTTGTCAGGATATAGGATCCAGCCAGTTGCACCCCAGGGGGTAATAATAGACAAGAAAAATATATAAATCATAGATGATATAATTAACTAATAAAGAACATTGTTGATGCATATATATTGCATAGCTGCCATATATATTGCAAACTTTAAAACTGGGAGATTTTTGCAAGAAAACTGGTAGGTTTTCATGCTGCATAACACCACCATTTCAGAAGAACACCAAACTGACTTTAATTCATTTTATAAGTCATGGCTCACACTATTTATAATACAATTCTGATGTAAAATATATTAGCATTTAATTCGATATTCTAAACTTTATGTTCTTTGGCTAATTTCATTTTAAAATTTTCTTGCACTTTCATACTGAGAAAATCACGAATAATGAAGGAAAACTTTTATTTAGTGAAGCACTTTTAAATACAATGAACATACAATTCATAATTAATGTGCATAATATTTGTGTGTGTAAACTTAATAATGCACTCTATATTGAAGTAAACAGATTTAAATATAAATATTAGCTGATTAAACCTTATTTGGTTCTTCATAAAACAATTTTAAAATATCTACAGTGGATTAATATAACTCAGATCCAATGAAATTTAATAAGATCAATCAAATGTAATAAGAAAAAATACAATTTTGATGAAATAAAGTTTAACAATAAAATTATTCTGAAAATCATTATAGGTGGGAACAGGAATTTCTATAATTCAATAACTTTAATTTATTGCTGGGTAACATTTTGCATAACAAAGGCTAAAAATTATGAACTGGGAGATTCAGTGATCTAATCAGAGACCAGGAGATGAAGTGAAAAACTGAGGGAGTTGGAGCAACAATATGAGTTAAAGAACAGTGTTGTTATATATAATTTTGATTTTGATTTACTAAACTAAAAATATTGTTTAAATAATCAATTTAAAAGGGCCAAATTAGCGAAATATAAAAGATCAAGAACAGCCATTAAATCTGTAACTACAAATTACTTATCAGTAAAATTGATAAGGCACTGAAAGATGAAACAATTCATATTTGTGAAAAATTAAGTGGGATTAAGGATTTAACAGATCAACTACTACAAAAAAAAAAAAAAAAAAA